CGAATCAGATATATTTTTATTATTCATCTGTTATTGGCTGAAGACGTATTTACTAAGAAAAGTGGTTCCCGTAGCCCGAAACTATAATTTACGTCTGACTTATATTTCCAAACCCAATCGTCATTAAAATTTCGATTCTTTCGGTTTCAGTAAGTCATAATTTTATTTTTCCTTCGATCATGTAAAAATAACAGGTTGAAACTACTAAATTTCAATTACAATTTAAGAAGAGTTAGAAACGTAATTACGAGGGTGGTTCCAAAAGTACCAGGCCTGACCTAGAGATGGCGGTAGTTGTTTGAAAATATCACTGTATTAGAAAATACACAATCTGTAAAGCATATGTATCAAGTTTGAAGACGCTGCGTTGTTTATTATTTGTTTGGCAGCCATCAAAAGCGAACGTTTTCGGTGAATTTGTGAAAATGGAGAAAATTGGTTCTCGTTATGTGGTACAAAACTCTTATTTGAAAGGCCTTAGCCCAACCAATATGAAATCTGAACTGAATTCTACTCTGGGCGAGTCTGCTCCTTCATTTACAACAGTAAAATATTGGGTAGCAGCCGTACGAGCTACCAAGACGAGCAACGCAGTGGTCGACCAGATGCTACCAAAGCGGTACTGAATGATCGTCGACTGAAAGTGCGGTACATCGTATATTATCTGAAAATTTGGACATGAGAAAGCTTTGAAAACAAATGAAGTTACAAGTATGTCAAAATTTGATGCGTTATAATTGACATGTATTTCGTAGTTTTCTATTTGTGTGCAAAATGTCTCGTTTAGGGTATTCTAATGAAGATTTCCTGAATTTAATAATCATTTATGGTGAATGCAATAAGATAATGGACAGAACAAGTCGTGTTTTTGCAGAAACATATTCAAATCTACACAGTGCCAATAAAAATATTCTGAGAAGGCTTCTAAGAAACTGCCGTGATTTCGGATCTTTTTCGTCTGTCATCAACAAAAAAAAACCACTCGTAAACAATGAGGATATAGAAATTGTAGTTTTGGCCTACTTCATGGCCTATCCAGAAAATTCGTTGAAAGACGCAGAAAAGTCACTTAGAATTTCATGTTTGTCAATAAACTGGCGCCCCTTTAAATATCACCAGGTTCAAAATCTGAAACCTCACGACTTACCTGCACGAGTTGAACTCAGGAGGACCCTGAGTTCATGAAGAACATGATATGGACAGATGATGCCAAATTTGCCAAGAATGGTATGTACAACCGCCATGGGCAGCAGAAAATCCAAAGCTCGTTCGCCAGCGTAACTTCCAGGATTCATGGAGTTTTAATGTTTTTTGCGCTATAAAGGAAGACCGAATTTTATGTTTATATCTTTATGAAGAGAATTTGAATAGCGATAGTTATTCGCATATAATTAGGAATGTGGTTGGTGAATCCATAAGGCATGTTTCTGAACAATACCGTTTCAAGTTATGGTATCAGATGGATGGAGCTCCTGCACATAGTACTGATACCGTTGCTGGGTTGTTGAATGANTTGAAAATATTTTAGTTTTGTAAAACCGACTACCACAAAATTTCAAGTTTTTATTTTGAATCGTTCTCCATGAAAATGTGACCATTTTCAAACAATTGAAATGGGATATCCTTGAAAGATGGACATATCCCATCGCGGACTTTTCTGTAGACCCATAAAAAAAGAACAGTATCTAGTAAATTGTTTTGTTACATTTCAAATGCGGAGTTTTTAATTGGAGCTCCCTAGATTCAGTCGGGTAGCTCCTTCTCGACTTCGCAATGATATCATCTTCAATGAAATTGTACACATAAACCTTACACTTGAATCACTCTGAGTATTGGGGATAACCTTAATCCTTTCGGCAGTGTTGAGAGTTCAGACGATAAGCGCTGTGGGTGAGGTCCGGGTTTAATATGTAGAGAGTTGTGGAATTGCTAATCTTCAGTGTCCTGTGCATATTACTATAGCTTTTTAAAACTAGGAAGAGACTTGAAAATTCTCTCTCTCTCATACAGTCTCCTAATGAACGCTCGTCATAGGGGAGGTCCTAACCTGAGACTTTGAAGTCGCTTCCTAGATTTGACAAGCTGTACACTGAAATTTTGCAATCAAGCTAATTTTGAATGTATCATTTCATGTACTTATTGTTTTATTTCATTTTGACTGAAACAAATCCCTATGTAATCATTTGAAGAACCCTTATCTGAATTCTGTCGTAGATATATTCATTTCCCAAGCCTCGCCGTCTAATTCGCTTTTTGCGGTTTGCCCGAGATAGGAATAATCTTGTTTGTTTATTAGTGATTAAAAATTAATGTCGAGTTTGAAGCTTTCTCAGTAGTTTTAGATCAGTTCTTTTCAGCAAAAAAAATATTGTATAATATCGTGAGTAATTTTGTAAAAATATCTAAGATAGAGTATAGTCAAGTTAATAACTAGAATCATAACTTTTATTGAAATTTCAATAAGTTTGATGTAGAAACTTGTTTAGAAAAAAGAAAAACAAAATGCATTGCCCAACAGATGAATCCATTTACAGGACAATATATAATATAATAATGCAGTATAAATAAAGGCTACTTAAACTAAATATACAGGGTGTAACTGAAAAAGAAACTTCATTGGAGCATCCCTTGTTAAGATACAGCCCCTTAAAGGGGGTACATCAAATTTGTACAACAATTTTTTTCACAAGCACTAAAAAAATTACAATATTGGAGCCTTGTGGCACAGCGGATGGTGATGCAGACGTAAATTCATTATAAACAACAACATTGGTTCTCTGATCCAAATAAGAGCGTAGAAGTTGAGTTAGTGAGACATTTGAACCCATTTAAGCTATTTTCTCTAGTAAGATGGAGTGACAAATTCTGTCGAAGGCATTTGCAAAATCTGTGTCAACTTGTCCTTTTGTGTCCATTACTTCTTTGAAAATAATATTGGAAATGCCTCAGAAGTTTTTGTTTTTGGAAATATGTTCACCCCACATCTGATGATGGAATGGATCGTAAAGAACGATCTATTGGTCTCAAAAATCGGTTATATCACTTTGGTGTTGACATTTTTGAGAAATAAGATTACTAGATATTTGCTCCAATGGCATTTACTTCAAAAGAAATATTCCTTTTCTTTTTAATTTTGTTTTGGAATTCATGAGATTTAAATATTTCCATTTAATTTACATAATAATTCGTCATCGACTTCTTCAACTTATTTGCGTCTTTTCTCTTTTCTTTTCTATATATCTCGTCACCCACGCCTTCATTCTTTTGTGCAAATCTCTCACTTTTTCTACCTGTTGGCACATAACACGTCAAGTTTGTGGCGGTTTTTATCCATTCACATATTTTCTAACCATTCATATCCAGATACATATACAAAAATAATTTTGGAATTCCACTAACAAAATACAAGATACCATACATATCACTAGATAGTTGTGGACTAATTATTAATCAATCTAGAACACTCTATAGTCTGTTCATAATTTGTCGATAGCACAAAATGAGGGCCCAAGTCATAAAACGGTCGTAAAACTCGTAAAATCATAGGCGGAGGTTCCTGAGGTGTTTATTCATTAAATATAAAGCTTCAGTTTATATTCGAAACTTGCCTTGAAAGGGTGAAGTTGTTACGAACGAAAATAATTTTTGGTTTAGTACATTTTTTAATCGCATTTAATTTACGGCTCGTTGGTGTTTCGGCGTCTACGGCAGTAATTAACGTCTCTAATATTTATTTTGCGAATTTTGTGCAGTG